CGCTTAACGGCTATAACTTTAACCGTTCTACTAATACCGGGCTAATAATATCGACTTATATACCCGTATCGAGGTTAACGCTAAGCTTAACCTTACGCCCTTCTCGGATAATATATATAACTCCTCGCGCGACTTTACCGACTAGGACCTATTTCGGGGCGTTTATGGATGTAGTGCTTACCCCTTATACTACGCTAATCCGTTTCCCGGGCTATTAAGGATCTTAGTAATCCGTATATTATCGTTAAGGGCTAATTCCCCCTAAATCTAAATATTACTTACGTTAGCGCTTTTCTTCGCCGAGCCCTTACCGCCGTCTTTATAGTCTTTACTATAGTAGTCCTTAGACCGGTATCTCTTTTTACTATAGTTATAGCACTCCCTATTAAAGGGTTTATCTAACCTAGAGGTCTTTTAGGCGCTAAGGGTAGTCGTCGATAATAAAGATTTTATCGCTTATTATTACCCCTTTAAGGTGCTTTTCGACTATTTAGCGGACGGATACCGTCCCCTCTACGACGGGTTATCCTTCTAATAGTAGGAGTAGGACCTTTTCCGGCTATTAGACCTATTATTCGGGGAGTATATCTCCTAAAGTAATTACGCCTCCTACGCTACCGTATAGGCCTCTTTAAGCTTAACCCGCCGCTTATAAAGCTTATCGCAGAACCGTGCGGGTAGTTATTAAAAATAGTCGTACGTACGCTCTTCGCTACTATACGTCTTTTACCCTAATAGGTAATAGTAGTTATCCTATTATTCGAATAATTTTATCGGCGTTATCTCGCCGATAATAAATGACTTATATAGCTCCTCCCGGTAATAAAAGTACTATAAGTCGCGGGATAGGTATTCTCGCCAAATAAACGCCTTAAAGTCGTCCTATATAGGCGATAAGAGCTTCCGTTTATAACTCCGCCACGATATCTAGTAGGATTATTCTAGCTTAGTTAAAGCCTATTTAATTAACTAGAGTACGGGGGCCTTTACCCGAAAATGGTTTCCGGCCTCGACCGCGGATACCTAATCGTTAATCTTAGTAACGGTCGCGTTCTCTGCTAGGGTCTTATAGTTATAGACTAGTGGCTTCTTATATTCGCGCTTTATCGCCGGGCGTTCGATAAGCCTTTATAGGATAGCTTTATTCTGCCTCTATATCTACTAGTTAAACTCTTATTACTATTATACCTAACACACTAGTAGGGTGTTAGGTGTCTATAGCAGTAGTCATAATGGGTCCCCAGTATAAACCCATAGGGGTCCAGGCGTGCCTAGTCTAAGGCCCCTTAAGGTATAAATAAAGCAAGTCGTCACACAGTAAACAGAATAGTCCCTCGAAGTAAATAAGGCAGCCCTTAAGGAAGCAAATAAGCAGTCCTCGAGGAGCAGCGGAACGTAATCTTAAGGAGCGGAGGAGCCTCCCCTTTAAAGAGGGAGGCCAGCGATTAATCTGATTCTTTAGCTACCTCTATACTTTCCCTATCGTGATTCTATTATAATTATACCTGGTTCCTTACTTAACCCTACCTTTTCACTCTTTACGATAACCTATGTAATATTTTAATCGCTCTACCCTCTAAGGGCGCGAAGACTATTAAGGAGAGTCACTAAGATATCTAACTATCACGAAATAAACGATCCTACCTTTAATTTTAACGAGGCTGCTAGTTAATTCGAGCGATAGCTCCATAATAGCAAACCCGTCTGTATAGAGGACGCTAACGAGGAATACGACGGGAATACGCCGGGAACTAACACGGCTCCTATTTCTGCCACCGCCTTTACCCCTATACCCGTTCCCGTTCCTGCCCTTATACCTACTCCTATAGCTAGCACTACCTCTACTACCGCCTTTACCCCTATCACTATCCCCGTTTCTTAGACTATAGTTATTACGGGACCCGTATAGGATCCTAATCTACCCCCGCACGTAGACGTTAACCTAGCTATATTAACGGATAAATAACTAAACGAACGTGTTAAATAGATAGAGGTATAGAACCACCGTAAGCGTAAGCTCGCTTATCTTACTAAGCTTAAGGCGGATACTACTACCGTTATTACTACCGCTACCGTCTTTTTTAATCCTATTATCGATTCCCACCGGGCCGATATTACCCACTATCGTATAGCTAAACCTCCATATCGTATTATCGTAACCCTAATAGGATCCTAGTATACCTATAATATATCTATAACGTCTTCTATACACGGATCCGCTACCTAGGCTAAGTTTAATTTTCCCCTGCCTAAGTAGGATAGTGTATCCTAGGCTAAGTATCGTATATTTATTTAGGAGACGAATTAGCGGTTTAACCTAGATTCCTAGTCCTTCCCTATAGATGCTATAAAGAACTACATCGTACTTATATCATAGTGTAGCCTACTAGCGTTCCTTAAGGTGATAGGGGAGGCACGATATAACGATAACGACTCTAATAGGGTTAGCTAGGCCGCCCTATAAGCCTGGCTATCCCGCCAGGTTAATAATAACGACACCCGCCTACGGGAGGTAGCAGTATAGATCCAGAGCGAGTCTATCTCCTCCTAGAGAGAGGGGGAATCTTACGCTAAATTCATATAACGGTGGGAAGCCCTACAGTCGGAACTACCGGGTAAGCTCCTAGACTAGTAGAGGATTTAGATAGTACTAATAAGAGTCCTCTCACCTATTCGGGACTATATAGTATCTATAGGAGTCCTTAAGGACTACTAGGACCTAGCCCTAGCCTATTATAGGGCTAAGGCTTTAACTGTTAACGACGGGCTGGCCGTCGCTCGAGCAGATTTCTAGTCTAATATCTAATAACGTCGTTTTCGTTCGCGTACCCTAGGATAGGGTACCTAAACGGCCACCTACGGTTCTACTAGTACCCCTACGCCTACCCCTATATCTGCCCTTACACCTATACTAGTCTCTGCTCCTAGTTACCCTATACGCTCTAGACTGTTATCGTACCTCGACTCTATTACTTACTATAATTATAACTAAAAGGGACACTACGCCACTACGTGCCTTAGCCCTCGGATACAGCGTTTAAGTATAAGCAATAATAACCCGAATACCTAACCGGTGTCTATATCCCGCCCCACGGTCGGCCGTGTCACGGGCGAGGTACCCTAGGAACTATACCCGCCTCGGATAGCCCTTACTACTATACTAGTAAAGGCACGTGTATCCTTTCGCCGAGGCAGGGAATAAGTATAGACATCGGCCCTCCTTAATGGAGGCGCCGATATTAATATACTGGATCGGTCCCTCCTAGGACTTAGTTAGGTCCCTGAGGGGTCCCCGATCCCGGTATCCTGGATTACGGAAGGATAAACGAAGATAACCCTTAGGTCCTTCCATAGGATTATTACTACCACCAACTACTAGGGTCGGAAGAGAGTATAGCGCGCCGAGTTCCACGTTATACGGCTTAATCCCTAGGGCGCCCGTATAATTCTAGGAAGACCGTGGCTTATAGCCGTTAACCCTAACGTTAATCAGCAGTATAGTATATAGACCTATCCCTTATCCTACGCGGAGCTTAGTATAGTCACGTTACTAAGAGAACTGCGTAGGGCAGTTAGATAAGCTAAGTCTATCCTTACTCTAACCTCTATAGGTTCTACGCGGGCCCCACGTATCGGCCACGTTAGCCTAATAGAAAACTCTTTAGTAGGATATAGAGATAAATTCTTAGAAGCCGGGACACCCGCTAGCATGCTACCGGAATAGTATTAAGATTTCGCTAACGTTTTTAACGTTAAGAACGCCGGGAGGCTGCCGACGTATTAGTAATAGGATCACGCTATTAAGGTCGAGGAAGGGAAAAAGCCCCCTTATAGTCCTATTTACCCCCTCGCCGTATAAGAGCTCGAGGTGCTACGCTAGTATCTACAGGATACCGTTACGAAAGGGTGGATTAGACTATCTACTAGTCTGGCCGGCGCCCCTATCCTATTTATCCCTAAGAAAGGTGGTAAGCTACGTTTATATATCGACTACAGGAGATTAAATAAGGTGATAGTCAAGGACCGTACCCCCCTGCCCCTGATCCATAAAATCCTAGATCGGTTATTATCGGCGTAGTACTATACTAAGCTGGATCTTAAGGATATATACTATCGGCTCCGTATACGAGCTAGGGATAAGTGGAAGACAGCGTTCCATATAAAATACGGCCACTACGAGTACCTCGTTATACTATTCGAGCTAACTAACGCGCCTGTAAGCTTCTAATGGTATATTAACTAGGCGCTAACGGGTCTTATCGACACTATCTATATAGTCTATCTGGATAATATTCTTATCTATAGCAAAGACCTAGCCACCCACCGTATATACGTCCGCGAGGTCCTTATAAGGCTTAGGTAGTAGTCCCTGTATACTAACCCCGATAAGTGCGAATTTAAGACTAGAGACGTGGAGTTCTTTAGTTTTATCTGCAGTCTAGATAGGGTACGTATAGACCTATCCCGCGTTAAGGCTATCCGCGATTAGGAACTCCCTAATAGTATTAAGAAGATATAGGTCTTCCTAGGCTTCACGGGTTTTTATAGGCGTTTTATCAAGAACTACTCTAAGGTAGCCGCCCCTCTTATAGACTATCTTAAAAGGGGCCCTATAGGGGGCTATACTAGGGTCATTATACTTTCCTAGTAGGCCTAATCTACGTTTGAGGAAATAAAGTTACTATTTTAAAAGGCATTAGTCCTACGGTATTTTAACCCAGCTCTGCTAATACGTATTAAGCCCAATGCTTCTGCTTTTACTATTAGCGCTGTTATTAGCTAGCTCGAGGAAGGCTTATAGCGCCCTATAGCGTTTATATCCCGTAAACTACGTAGGGCTAAGCTTAATTATAGTATACCCGATTCTAAGCTTATAGCTATTATCGAATCCTTCCGTACGTAGCGTTACTACATAGCCTATAGTCAGAGCCCTATAGTAGTCCTAATAGACCACCTAAACTATCGCCACCTACTAGATAAGCCTAAGCTTAAGGGATAGTATGCACGGTGGCTTAAGGAGCTCGCCCCGTTTAATTTTAAGATTCGGCACCGCCCGGGGACGTTAAACCCCGCGGATAGGTTATCCAGGAAGCCCTAATATACGCCTTATAAGCGCGCCCTGGTTACTAACCGGGCTAAGGCGGCAGAGTCTTTTTCTAAGCGTTTTATAGGCTATATCGGGAACCAGGGTAGTTCCTATAATAGCCCCGGTTATGATTTTCCCGCTCCTCCCACCTTAGTGGTTAAGACGTAAGCGGATAACCTTTCTTCCTCTACAGAGTCTATTTCGAAGCGTTTTACCTTAGGCCTATATAGGACTTAGCATAGTACCCGCGCTATTCCCGCTCCTCCTACCTTACCGAAAAAGATAGTTAAGACGTAAGCGGATGACTTTATCTCGGAGCCTTTTTCGAGGCATTTTGTTTTAGGCCTCATCGGGAACTAGCGTGGTTCCCGGACTACCCCTGAGTCTAACCCTGTTTTTCCCGCTCTTAATTCCCCTACACTACTAGAAGAGGTAGTAGAGGCGTAAGCGGATAACCCTTTTTACACTAGGTAGCGTAAGGTCCACGGTAACGATACCACGTACGGATATTAGTCTAGGAGTAGTGGTATCCTTCGTTTTAAGAATCGCGTTTTCGTGCTAGACTACTCTAGCCTCCGATAAAAGGTCCTATAAGGTTTCTATAATAGACCTAGCGTGGGTTATTATAGGGTTATAAGGACTATTAAGAGAATTTCGGACTTCTACTTCTAGGATTATTTACCCAGGGATATCCGGCAGTTTATACCCACCTATACTGCTTATTAACGCACTAAGCCGCGGCACTATAAGCCTTATAGCGAGCTAGCGAGTCTCCTAATATCCTAGCGCCCCTTTATAGAGATATCTATTAACTTTATCACGGGCCTACCGCCGGTTTATAGCGCGACTATAGACAGGAAACGGGATACTATCCTTATAGTAGTATACTGCCTAATAAAGTACTCGATTTATATCCCCTTAAGTAGTGGCCTGATAGTAGAAGGACTTACTAAGTCCCTATAGCACCACGTTTTCCGCACCTTTAGCCTACCTAACGGCATTATATCGGACCAAGGCTTGTTATTTATAAGCTGTTTTTGGGTAATATTATATCGATATTTAGGCATAGTTAAGCGCCTATCTATAGCGTGGCACCCGTAGATAGATAGATAAACGGAGCGATAGAACCAGAACCTCGAGTACTATCTTCGCGTCTTCTACTCGCAGGAATAGGATAACTAGGTTAACCGGCTACTATTAGCAGAGTTTACCTATAATATAGCATAGCACTCTGCGATACATTATACCCTATCCGATACCCTAATAGGCTATAACCCCTGAGGTCCTAATAAAGTATAACTGCCTAGGGTAGGTAAGGTCCGCGCTACTAAAGCAGAGCGCCGTGCGGAGTACCTTATAGCCTAGCGCCGTTCTATTTCGGACCTTCTTAAGAGGGCATAGGCTTTCTACGAACGGTACTATAATAACGGTTATACCTAGCGCTCCTTTAAGGTAAACGAGTATATCCTATTATCCACGAAGAATATCCGATAGAAAAGGCCGTTAAAAAAGCTTAGCGATGAGTTTATCAGACTATATAAGGTGATTAAAATCGTCGGCACGTATAGCCTAGCCCACTAATCAGAACTACCGAAGGGTATAAGGATTTATAACGTCTTTCCGGTTTCCCTACTAAAACTATAGAGGTCCCGCGATAGGATATAGCCGGAGCCACCTATAGTTAACGTCGAACTAGATTCGGATAAGTACGAGGTCGAAGCTATCCTAGCCTACCGATATTAGGGTAAACGACGTTAATACCTAATTAAATAAGCAGGGTATAGCGATGAGGAGAATACCTAAGAGCCGAAACGGAATATCCCCGATAAACTCATCGACGCCTACTTTAGAGTAAGACTATCCGGGAACTAAGTGGGTTCTTACTCTATTTCTATAGGGGACCTAATAGAGATAACGTAAGGTCGTTATTATATATTCCCCCCCTACGGACGGTATTATTATAAGCGAGACTTACTAGGAATTATATAGAACTATACACTATTCCCGATAAGGACCTAATAGAGGTAAGGGTCCACGAATCGGCTATATTAACCTAGTAAAACCCTTTAGTAGGTCGTGGAGATAAATTCTCGGATAAGGACCCCCCCTTAATCTAGACGGGAACTATATAGGCGTTATCGCGTTAGTTACTATTTTCTTCCTTTTTAAGCGTTCTGTTTCCGACCTTTATTCCTTTTCGGGTATAACGCCCCTAATTCCCGTCCCTCTTCCTTTAGTATAATAGCTTATCGCCCTTAAAGTCTATTTCCCTTTACTATTCCCTTAATTAACCGTTATAATAGGATATGATTATATTATAGTAAAGTATAGTTAGGGACCGTTAGGGTTATAATAGGAATACCCTAAAGCTAGTTAAAAAAAAAAAAGGAAAAACCTAACCCGAAGGCTAGTAAAAAACCTAAAAAACAAATAACCGTTTCCTCTATATATACTATCATGGCCCTTTTAGGGCGTCCTTAAACCCTACTAACTTATCGTCTAAAGGGGTAGGCTCGCGCCTAACCGCCTCGCCGTTATCCTCTATATATACCTGGCTCTACCCCGCGGTAGTAGCTATTACCCCCTCTTACCTACCACCCGCGGATAGCGTCGAAGGATAAAAAGACAGCGGCGTCTTCGCCTTCTACTACTTTTTCTTTTTCTTCCCCGATAAAGGAGTCGAGGGCGTTAAAGCCTTCTTCCCCTTCTTCACTAATAAGGCCGGCACTATATTATTATTATCGGGCACTTTATAAGGATCCGGGAGACCCTAAGGACCTTACGGCACGAAGCCTTAAGGTTACGCAAAGCCACTATAACTAAATATATCGTCGCCTATAAAGCTAACCCCCGCGGGGGCTAAGGCGGACCCTAAAGGTATAAGTATATCACCTTCCACGGCCTAAGCCTAGGCTAGGTTAAGAGTAGCTATCTACTCGAAAGCAGTGGCCGTATATTCCTAGGCCGTAAGGTCGCGCTAATATAACGCTAAGCGTTACTACTCGATATTAAGCCGCTACTACTTAACGGTAAGGCGCTACTACTATAGCCCGACGAATTACTTAAGGATTAACTCTATACTATTAAGCCTCTTATGGATATCTTCCGCCGTTTTCTAGCGGGCGTCGGTAACTTCCTTAGCTTAACGCCGAGTAGTTATAGCTTCCTCGGTAGACGACCGGTTAACCTCTAACGTCGCCTAACCCAGAGCCTCTCTAAGGATAACCTAGTATCGAACTGCTATAGCCTAGCACTATAGAGGATTAGTAAGGGTACTATATAGGGTTAACAAAGGGATATAGTAACACTTACACGGCGACTCTCGTTTAGGCCACCTTTCTCGATAGCGATAACTAAAACCTTCTATAGCTACTCGGCAGCGTTCTTACCGGTAATAAGGAGCTATTATATATATCAGAAACAGGCCTACGGAGTAGTCCATAAAGGGAGAGACTATAGCTATAGGGATAATAAAGAGATATAAAGGGGAAGAAGGGCGTATCGGGACGACGACAAAGATATATAACTTACTACGTGGCACTTAAGGCTATTATGCTTAGAGTAATAGTGGCACTTATTCGTCCGCCGACTATTATCGGTATAACGGCACGTCACGGCCTTAATAGTATACGTTTTCTCCTTAAAGTTAATCGTTACTAACTTACCCGTATAACGTATATAAGGGGCCCTTAAATCCCCGCCTATACTGATATCCACCACCTTTTAGCGGGGAGCGACTAACGGCGTAGTAGTTAACGTTAAAGGCGTAGCCGTAGTAAGAGTAGGAGGCTTTAACGTAGTAGGCTACGTGGCAGACTACCTAGTAGACTATAAGGTCGACGCTATAACCACGATCTTAATCCTCTTAAAGGACCGCGTTATACTCGCGGGAGTGGCGACGCACTTATTATTATTATTATTATCTTCCTAGGAAGGTATAATAACTATACTATATCGCGTGGTTAGCTAGTGTTATAGACTAGAGATGGATTTAGAAGCATTTATAAGATAGTAGTTAGTTAATTAATTAATTAATTAATTAAGACTATAAACCGTTAATACGCGATACCGTAGATTAGGTAGAACTTACTAGGCGCCGCACGATTAAAAATTAGGTATAAAAGAGGAAGAAAAGAATAGGAAAAGAGAATAATAGCAGGATTACGAGATATCCCTCCAATAACAGTTATATAGGCACCTATTTTTAGTATAAAGAAGGAAGCTACGAATTCAGGGAAGGAGTAATATCGGGCCCTATATAATACTAGCTTCGGGAGTCTTTATAGGTAGATAGAAGGGATAACCCAGGAGGATAAAGGGGCAGAGTCGATAGCCTAAGAAGGAACTACCCTAGAACCCGTTAGGTTCCTAATAGGGGCACGGCTATAGGTGGATTAATAGGACTCGCCCGTACACGGCGCCGAATTTAGAAGTATAAAAGGAAGTGGCCCTTATTAGTGGTCTTAGTTAATAGATCTTAGTTAATAGATCTTAGTTAATAAATAAAGGGAGAGGGGGTATACCCGGATCGGAGCCACGGCTAAAGAGGCTCCGTGTAGGCACTAGGCGGGAACCCGTTAGGTCCCGATATCGAAGGCTCTAGTTCGGGGGGGTATCGGGGGATTTAGGGACGGACTTAGGGACTAGGGTTCGGAGGAGCTAAGAGGCTAGCACGCGTCGAGCGCTCCTAAGGATAGGAGTATCCGGGGGAGGTCGTTATATTAGGTGCCTATAGTAGTAGTTATAATAGGTCCCCAGTATAAACCTATAGGGGTCTAGGCGTGCCTAGTCTAAGGCCCCTTAAGGCATAAATAAAGCAAGTCGTCACACAGTAAACAGAATAGTCCCTTAAAGTAAATAAGGCAGCCCTTAAGGAAGCAAATAAGTAGTCCTCGAGGAGCAGCGGAACGTAGTCTTAAGGAGCGGAGGAGCCTCCCCTTTAAAGAGGGAGGCCAGCGATTAATCTAATTCTTTAGCTACCCCTACACTTTCCCTATTATAATCCTATTATAATCATACCTAGTTCCTTACTTAACCCTACCTTTTCACTCTTTACGATAACCTATTTGATATAGGGCGAATAGGTTCTTAGTAATAGTCGGGGACGGTTCCCCTACACGGTCGGAAGACGCGTAGCTCGCCGACTATTCAGCGCTCCTCGCTTATTCAATATCGAGTCTCCGTAGACGACTATCCACGGATAATATCCGTATTCGCACTAAATTAAGGGATACTAATAAAGCCGTATCGTTATTATTATCCTATTAGTCCTAATACTCCTTAATACCTCGAATAGGCTCTTCTTATTATACGCCCGTATCCGCCCGCTTGGTATTAGTAATGCTTCGTAAAATCCGCTTTAATAGTATCTTCGGCTCGGTAACCTTATAAGTATAGAAGTTAAAGAATTTATTAAGGAATAGACTATAATACTAGGGAAAAGATACACTATAACGGATAATACTATTCGGACTTAATAGTTATATATTATTAAGACTTTAACTTAAGGAGTAAAAAGGAGACTTTTTCCCCCTCTATACTAATATAGTAATTTAGTTTCGTCGAGCGCTCGGCGATCCGAGCGTATCTCCGGTCCTCCACAGTGCTAATCCACAGTGCCACTTAGTTCCTTACACGGCCTTAGTCTAATCGCGGCCGGTATAGGGGCGTATACCTCTAAAGAAATCTATAACCTATATATACGTAGCGGGCTTTAAACCGGTATCTTTATAGCTTTATAGCAGTAGCTACCACTTATCTAAGTACTCCCCGAGCTTCTTAAGGCTATTCGTAGGGTACCGTGCATACTCGATATACTCTTTATAGGTATCGGTTTAGCGGGTGGCTAGGTATTAATCCGTATCGCGTTTAACGGCGTTATACACCTTATGAGGCGTGCCTCCTTATAGTAGTTATCTGCGGCTTTAGTCGATAGTATTAACCTGCTAAGTTAGTATAGCATTAATCCCCTCTAGGTAGCTATCGTATTATATTTATAGGATCTTCTAGCGCGCGATTTCGATATCGTATGCTTTCTGGCTAGCGTCCGTAAGGTCGAGATATTACGTAGGGGTACGCTTAGGCGTTATAGAGGGGAAAGAGTCGTAATTCGGTATTATAGGCTCCTCGAGTGACTAAGTCGGATCGACTAGGCGGAGAAACCTCTACACGTTATTATAGGTGGTAACCGATTCGTATAGGCGTCGCTAGAGCTCCTAATCCTTATAGGTTTTATACGTAATAGGGCTAAGATACGATATCTTAATAGTTATTTATAGATTAACACGCTATATCGGCGTAGATAGCTTCTTAAATTGGTAGTAGTAGTAGAGGTAAAAAGGTAGGTAGTTTACTTAGTAAGTAAGACTCTTAATTATCAGATAAAGCGTAGTCAAAATCGTTATAAAATAGATTAAAATTTAATTAAGATAATTATATATAATTTTAACTGTCTCCGACCGTTAGGGAAACGCTACCACCGTATTTTATATAGTGTAGATTCTGTAAGCGTCCACCCGGATTATACTCTTAGCAATCCGGCCCATTACGTAACCGAAAAGACTGTGGTCTGTTCGACAGTAACTTCCATCAACACGTGCGAAGATTCCATTGTTTCTGAATTTCTGTCCAAGTCAACATTGATCAACCTCAACCAACAGCACAACCTCGAAGCCTTACAGTATATCGTATCCCCAGTTGCCATAAAAAATTCTACTCTATTTCGTCCCGCATACCTTATTCTTGCACAATGCCCCGAGGACGCGGTGGCTGGGACGAGCCAGCCGATCGCCGACAACGCCACGATCGCGGCGGAGAACGAGATGGAGACCGGGCTCGGGACCGCTACCGGAGAGACGACCGGAGTGACCGGGGCGATCGTAACCGTCGCTACAGATCAAGATCACGAGAGAGACAGGACAGGGATAGACCGCGGTCGCGCGATCGGTACCGCGGCCGTGACGTTCGCGACAGGCCAAGCGGCGATAGGAACAGGAGAGATCGAGAACGGGATACCAGGGATCGGAAAGGGGGGGCTGAAGATGTACGACGTCGGAGAGACGAGGATGGGGATGACATCGAATTACCGCACAGGCGACGAGACGACGAGGATTTTGCCCGTGAGTTTTCGCCTTCCCCGTTCGCCATTACCCCGAGCTTTCATCATCCTCATCATCTTCTATTCACCTCCCCCCCACCTCAGAGCATCCGCAACCCGGAAAAAAAAAAGGGAAAAAGAAAAAAGAGACGAAAAGGACCCAGCGCAAAAGAACGAAAGCTAACCCCATCTTCTTCCCTCCAGACCCCCGAGACCGCCGCCGCTCCGCCTCCCCGCGCCAACCCACGGCCAGCCCACCACCAGCACACGCACAACCACCCACCGCCCACCGGCCAGGATCGCGCCAAGAAACCACCGAATCCCTCCCGACGCGCGTGCGAAGCGGCAGCGAAAACCCCCGAAAGGAGTCCCACGCCACCATGTCGTTCAAGGTGGGCGGACGGCACGACTCGCCGTACGCCGCGGACAGCGGGCGCAGCAGCGAGCGGCCCGACAGCGGGCACGGGTCGCCCATGGAGGAAGACCGCAGGCGGGGCGGTAGGGGGAGGGGGAGGGGCGAGAGCGAGGGCCGTGGTCGCGATGACGGTGGAGACAGTGGTGGCGACGACGACGTGGATGTCGAAGTGGATGGTGACGAAGATGCCATGGCCATGGCTGCTATGATGGGTTTTGGCGGCTTTGGGACCACCAAGGGGAAGAAGATCGTGGGGAACAATGTCGGCGGTGTCAGGAAGGAGAAGAAGTCCGAGTACCGACAGTATATGAACCGTCAGGGCGGATTCAATAGGCCTCTTAGTCCGACGAGGTAGACAAACGAGGGAAATAACAAACTGGCTGGAGAGGAAACGAACAGGGTATTACAGCGATTAATGGTTTTGGGCGCTGGGAGGCCTTACATACCATATACGTAGTGTGTAATTATAAACTTATAGCAAGCGGTCCCATTTTGCTTTCCAATGGGATGTAATTCATCCCATTCCCTTTGAGCCGCAACTTTTTATTATTATTTATCCCGACGTAGTTGACCCCGGCGCAGCAGGGGATGACTCGACGGCGCGCCTTCCGCCGGCTCTGGCCTCGGACTTTAGCTCGCTCTCGAAAATATCAACGGCCACGCTTGCTTCGACAAAGTCCTCGAGTTCCTCTGTAACTGTCTTGAGCTTCTCCTTGACGGCGGTGCTGCCCTCGAAGCCGACGATGTGGCGCGCGGGCGGGTTCTCGTGGCCGCCGATGGCGACGAGGGCGTGGACTGTCTCGGTGACGAGGCGGTCGATGGCCTCCGGGGGCAGACGCGGGTACCGGTACTGGATGGTGTCGGTCGAGTCGGGGTCGAGGGCGGTGTCCGGGTTCGCGTTAAGGACTTCGGTGAGCATGTCGCGGACGCTGGGGGCCTGAGGGACGTCGGGGAGGTCGGGGGCGTCGGGGAGGTCGGCATCTGGGTCGACGTCTGGGTCGACATCTGCATCCGGGTCGACAGCGGTCGTGGTTGCAACGGCGGTGGGAGGAAGAGCGGAAGTGCCAGCCACAGAGGTAGTGCTGGCAGTAGCAGCAGCAGCAGCAGCAGCAGCAGCAGTGGTGGTGGCCGGGGTGGGTGTGGTGGCAATGTTAGTGGTGATATAGGTGGTGGGAAGAGGCGGGGCAAAGACGATGCGGTTGGTGAGGGTCTGGACCTCCTTGTTGGGCTGAACGATGGTGACTTTGATATTAAAAGGGGCGACCTCGTAGGCAAGGGAGTCGCAGTAGCCCTCGAGGGCCCAGGTGGCGGAGGTGGAGATGGGGAAGCCGGGGGTGCCAATGTGGCCGCCGATGGAGGTAAGGGCGATGATATGGCCGGTGTGCTGGGCGCGGAGGCGGGGCAGGGCGGCCTTGATGAAGTTGATGTGGGCGAAGAAGATGGTCTCAAACTGGTCACGGACGAGGTTGCGGACGACGGGGGGTCCTGCGGTGAGCTCCTCGACGGTGCCGACGATGGAGTCGCAGCCGCAGCAGAGGAGGATGTCGATGCGGCCGAAGACGGAGTGGGCCTCAGCGACGGCGGCGATGCACTGGCCGGACTCGCGACCGTCGCAGCGGATGGCTCGCAGACGGTCTTTCCAACCTTCGCGGTCGCGGCGGGAGATCGACTTGCACTCGGTGACGAGGTCGCGGAAATCGGCGCTCCGATCGTCATCCTCCATCTCGTGGGGAGGGAGACAGGCCACGACATAGTCCCCATGGGCCAGGAGAAGGCGGATGAGGCGGACGACCAGGGGTGAGAGGGCGTGGGTTACGAACCAGGTCCGCGGGGAGTTGTGTGTGGCTGATAAGATGTTGAAAGCAGGTCAGCTGGTCCTTGGTTTCTTAGACGATCTGATCTGCGACGGAAGGGAGAGAGACGTACGAAACTGGGGAGGTGGTATCGCGTTGGACTGCCGGGAGGCTTGGCCCGGGTCGGAACCCTTTCGCTCGGGCACAGCACTAGCGGGTGGTCCCATCTTATCCAAGTGTCTTGCTTTATGTGTATGCTTCTACCTTGACCAAGGGGGGCTGTCTAGGAAGGGATGGACTCGTCTGTGGTATACCGGTGGCATTGTCAGAACATTGAGCAGTACGAGCACGTCCCCATCGAGTCAGCACTCTCGGTTCAGCTGAGCATGATGGCCGTCTGTAAGTTGAGCGAAGTGTGAAGCCCGCAATATGTTGTTTCGGTGAGCTGGGGGCGTACGAAGGATGTGATGTAGGAGGTGAAGTTGAGGTGTGACCAATGGAGGGATGAACGCAATGACTGGGGTACGTACATGTACCTCGCGTGTGATCTGGGGAAGACAGGCATTCGACGGAGGACGTTCCTAAATGGACGTACCGTACTCCGTAGTGGACTTTTAAGATGGTAGGTAGCCCCCCACGTCCAGAAGTCACTCCGGTACTGCCTGTACCCAATTGGAATTGCTCCGATTCCGGCGTGCGGGGCATTTCATGTACATACAGCAGAGTACATCCCGTCCCAAGACTTCACTCGACGGCTGTGTCATGGCGGGGTTAAGAGTCACGTTTGGTAACGGGCTCAAGTTCCTTCGTCCTCTAATGTGCCTGGAATAGCGCCTCTTCGTTTTCCCCTCTACCTTACCTACTTACTCCTAAGGGTCTGAATTTAACTTACGATTTTCTATTACACAGAGTACGTTCCTCTGACCAACAACTCTTTCCCCGCCAGCTGACTCGGTTGTCCCTTCCCTTATTATTTCCTACCCGCATTTATTTTCTCTTCTCGCCCTCGACTCGTTATATTCTCACCTTTTCCCCTTCTAACATCCTTGATATATTTCCCTTAACCTGTCGAGCTACCTATATAATTTAGCACGTATTAATTCTGATAAAGTTTCTTAGCTTCCTTGCCTCTATTCGTCTTCCAATCGCCCGTCAGGCCCTCGCACACCCCTCAGCCCAACGCCCATCATGCCCACCCGCGAGGAGATCACCTACTTCGGCGCCGGCCCGGCCCTCCTCCCCACCGACGTCCTCCAGAACGCCGCCCAGGCCCTCCTCGACTTCAACAACACCGGCCTGGGCATCGCCGAGCACTCCCACCGCAGCGAGCTCGCCACCAACGTCATCAACGAGGCCAAGGCCGACCTGGCCACCTACCTCGACATCCCCACCGACGAGTACGAGATCCTCTTCATGCAGGGCGGCGGCAGCGGCGAGTTCTCCGCCACTGTCTACAACCTCGTCGGCGCCTGGGTGACGCGCCGGAAGCAGGACCTCCTCCGCCAGTGGGGCACCTCCGCCGACGAGAAGGGCCTCGCCGTCGAGGAGAAGCTGGAGGCCGAGCTGCGCAAGGCCGTCGAGGAGGACCTCAAGCTCGACTATATTGTTACTGGTGGCTGGAGCCAGAAGGCCCACGCCGAGGCCGTCCGCCTCCTCGGCCCGGAGCGCGTGAACCTCGTCGCCGACGCCCGGACAATCAACGGCGGCAAGTTCGGCAAGATCCCGGACGAGAAGGATTGGACATTGAGCCGGGACCCGGCTCTGGTCTACTACTGCGACAACGAGACCGTTGATGGCGTCGAGTTCCCCGCCTTCCCCGCCTCCTTGGCGCCCCGTGCCGACGGCAGTGGTCCTATCGTCGTCGCCGACATGAGCTCCAACATCCTGTCCCGCCGCATCCCCGTGCGCAACTTCTCCATCATCTTCTTCGGCGCTCAGAAGAACCTCGGGTCCACCGGCATCACCGTGGCCGTCATCAAGAAGAGCCTGCTCCCTCCGACGACGCCACAGCCCGAGCCGGCCTTGCTGAGGAAACTCGGGTTGCCCATTGGGCCCATTGTGCTTTCCTACGAGACCATTGCCAAGAATAACAGCCTGTACAACACCCTCAGCATTTTTGAGTACGTCCTTGTCCTTCCTTCCTCTCATTCTTTCTTTTTTCCTTTCTTTTTTCCCCCCCCACACAAACTAACAAATCACATCAACAGCGTCTACATCGCCGGCCAGGTCCTCAAGAAACTCCTCCGCACCTTCCCCGACAAAGTCGACGGCCAGCAAGCCGTAGCCGAAAAGAAGGCCTCGCTCATCTACTCCGCGCTGGAGGCCCACCCGGACGTCTACCGCATCGTGCCGGACGCCTCGGCCCGCTCGCGCATGAACATCTGCTTCCGCGTCACCAAGGGCAGCGACGTCGACGCCTCCGAGAAGGCCTTCCTCAAGGAGGGCACCGCCAGGGGCCTGACCGGCCTCAAGGGCCACCGCAGCGTCGGCGGCATCCGCGCCAGCAATTACAACTCGATCCCGCTGGAGGGCGCCGAGAAGCTCGCGGCTTTCATCACGGAGTTTGCCAAGGCTTAAAATAACAGAGGAGGTTATCGTTTGGCTTGAGGGCGGGGGTTCTGCTGTTTGTCGTCAATTCTCTTATACCAAATCGGCAATGGGACGGATACGGATGATGGGGGGATATTTAGGTGTCATGGAAAAACCGTGGAGGGTCTCGAAAGGGCCGAGGAGGTGCATCTCAACGGCGACGACTTTTTGGGAACGATCAATGTTTCAACACAACAGCGACGACGACAAGTCTTTGCGTCTTTGCTTTTCTTTTTGCATTTCTTCTATTCATGATAGCGTACTTCGGTTACCCAATGCATCCTTCAGCATCACAAACAGGAGTTACGGATAGCTTACCCGTAAAAAATGCGCTATGTGGACGGAACGACCAAAGAATAAAAAAAAAAGAAACAAAAAAAGTTAAAAAGAAAAAGAAAAAGAAAAAGAAAGAAAAACCCCTCGTTGAGTTTGGATAGCCTCCCTCTTCACATCACCGCTGTTGTTCTGATTAAAAGAGTCAAGGGGTCCCACCCGGTTCATTCGCAAGCCAAGATGGCACAGCAGGCGGCTTGTCCCATCCATCGAGGTAGTTCGAGGGAGCGAGGCCGTCAACGGCAGGTCGCGCGTAGATGGCCGACACGAACCACGCCGACTGGCCCTTCTTCAGGGTATTCTGCAGCGTAGGGATCACGGTCCGCGGCTCGATGAGGTTCGAGTTGGGGTCCGCGTTGACCAAGTTCGCCGACCTCCCCGTGTCCGCTTCGAGCGCCTTGATGCCCACGGCGCCAGCGCCGACGGCGGCGGCAAAGGCACCCTCGCGTCCCGTAGACCACCCGTCGGGGGTGTTGAGGTCGTAGTTTCCGATGATGCGCGGGGAGGTGCCCTCCCCACCCGTGGCGGCCGGGTCGTATGGGTCCAGGGACCGGCCGGTGACGGAGTGGGTGTTGCGGATGGCGAAGGCGCCGTCGGCGGTCGCGACGTCGCGGCCCGCGGCATGGACGTGGTGGATGCGCAGATGCCAGTTCGGGGTGTCTTCGCGGGGCGGCACGAGGATGGTCTTGACGGTCACGTCCGGGAAGGGTTTCCACAACGACACGAGCACGGGCACGCCGTCGTCGCCGCGGGTTTCCAGGCCGGCGTACTGCGACAACCGGCGCGACTTCCAGTACTCGCCGCCGTCGTCGGAAAGACCCAGCTGCGACGCCAGGGCGTACTGCTCCAGGCTGAAGAGCCCCGTGGGCACCGAGTAGCCGAAGGCGCTGCTATACGCGAAGGCGCCGTACTTGGCGTGGGTGCCCTTCATCGGGTAGCTGCAGGCCTGGCCGGACGAGAGGAGCATGCAGTGATCGCCCAGACAGCTCATAATGTGGCCGGGGTGTCTCAGGGGTTTTATGGCCGGGATGACGGACCAGGCTTGGTCTTCTTCCGACGTCCAGAACGGATGGGTTTCAGGGACAGCTAAGCAGATGAAGGCGAGGCAGGCCCAGTACTGCCGTTTTGTCAGTCCGATAAGGTAGGTGGACATCAAACATAGGGATAAATGAAACATACCGGACTCCCGGGGCTGTTATAGTTCTCGGCCAAATACGTGTTCGGGTACGAGTAACCGATGGACAAGGTGCCGCTCGGCGTCCACAAGTCATGCTGGGTCTGCCACCAGCGCAGATGGCGCATGACGATGCCCTTGACCATACCCCAGGTAAGCGGGGCGGGGAGCTCGACGTCGGCGTAGGCGAGGGCGCCCCAGAAGGAGATCATGGCAAAGCGGTAGGTGACGCTGCGGCCGAAAGGAATAGCGCGGCCCTCGCGGTCGTAGTAGTGGGCGAGGTCGAGGGCGATCATCTGGGCGCGCTTCCGGAACTCGGCGGCGCGGGCGGGCTCGTCCTCCCCCGCGAGCTTGGCGTACAAGAGCTGCAGGAACTGGATGGCGAAGCTGGAGGAGTAGTAGTCCATCTGGTGGATGCCCTCTGGCCCGTCGTTGGACCAGCCGTCGCCGCGGTAGAAGGTTTCGAGGTGCTCGATGTCGGCGTCCAGGCGGGCCTGGGAGAACTTGCCGCCGTTCTTCTTGAGGCCGAGATTGGCGAAGACGCGAAACCAGAGCCAGTTGGTGTTGGGCATGCTGGAAGAAGAGGTAGTTGGTAGTTTAGTTATGTTTCTTGAACGTGCCTATGTGCTCGGTGGTGGTCTCTTACTTCTTCTCGTTGATGGAGTTTCCGAGCCAGTTCTCGACATTCTCGCGTTCCTTTTCGGTCAAGTTCTGCCAGAAGACGGGGGCTACTGCCAGAGCGAAGCCTAAGAAAATATGGCAGCATCAGTACGGCTGTCTCCATTTACCATGGCTTGTGAATCCCGAGCTGAAGGGGGGGGGGGGTAGAAAAATACAATGAAAAGCAAGAAGGAAGGAAAAGAAAAGAAAAGAAAAGAAAAGAGAGAAAGGACACACCAAGAGGACACATCTCGACCATACGCTGATCGTTATCCCGGGGATACCCCCAATACTCCGGACTCTCAGGGTCAGTACCGGACTTGAGTCCCTGCACCCACCACTCGGTGCCGCGATACTCCCCACCTCCGGCAAGCAAGGCAGAGAGGCCCCATAGCGGACGACATATCCCCTCGAGGTCGGCGGCGGCCTGGTCGAAGCGCACGGCGGTGGCACCCGGGCAGCGGACGCGGGACTTGGCCGGGGAGAAGAAGGGCTCGAGCGGGTCGAGGAGGGTGCGGAGGAGCTCCTGGACCGAAGAGCGGTCGGTCAGCTTCACGCGGGAAAACGGATGGGCGACCCCGTAGCCTAAGACGAGACCGGTCTTGGGTTCTCCCATGGTGAATGTGCTGTGCTTCGTGGAGGGTGAAGTCGCAAGACTCGCAACCGGTAGAGTGTCTCGCCTCCCCCTTTTGCCTCTCTTGAGTTTTCTTGTGTTCACTTTTCTTTTATACACCCTTCAGTCTTGGATGCAGCGGGAAACAACAAGGTGAGGTATAAGTCAGGAGAGTAAAGTCGTCATGCAACGAACAAAAAGACGGAAATGAGATGAGAGGAGATGAAATGAGAGATGCCATATAGCTATAGCTATAGCTATAGCTGGCTGTTAGAAAAGGCTTCGTGGTCGGATGCAGAGATGCAAGCTCACATCATAGCAAGCAAACACGACACCCCTCCTTTTCCCTCGGGGGAGAATTTGTCCAGCAATCATGGCTCGTTCTGGGGCTTGTCAACATCTTGGTCCGCTCCAAGTCAAGTCTCGACCTCCCCCGCCCAAGTTGTCCCAGCTTCGAGTGCGGATCACGGCAAATGCTCTGGGTCTACTGTGCGGATATACGGATATGCGGATATACGGAGTGGGTGCCTTATGTAAGCTAGGACACGCCTGTGCCGCCTGCCCGTTGGGGCCGAAGACGTGCGAAGTACAGTGGGTTTTATAAAAAGTGACGAGTAAAAATACCCCACCTATGTCGCATAGACCTTACCTAAGGCAGGTAAGGTATATAAGGTAACCGACTCTTATCCGGGGCCCCGCAGAGAAGACCAGCCAGGGGCCAAGAGACGACATGGTATTGAAGAATGCCACGGCCCTGGTTTGCTCGCAGCTTAGAGTACGCTATAAGTACGCTATACAACATACATAACAGTCACCCAATAGCAAGGAGTCGAGTCCTCTCTATTTCGTGACTGGGACGACTATAACGCCATTTGACTCACTTCGAGAAGACCCAATAACTTCGCGAATGGCTGCTCAAAAACGGCAGGATACTGTGGGAAAATCATATAAGTTCGAGGCGCTCCTACCATCTGTGGTGGGTCTCGGCGGCTGCAGCCTTAAAAGCCTAATTACTGAAAGTTCCTATTTCATATTAACCGACGGAGAGCGATTGGGTTGAATACGGCGGCTGGGGGAGTGGTTGTGCCGGAAGAGGTTGCACTGAGAAGAGACTTGATTAGGAGGAAGCCGTTCAAGGAAAACTTCGAAACCTGCCCGTACCGTTTGTTTCTCGAACTTCGAATTGGCAAGGCACATGATTCCTGCAAGGCGGTGGCACAGTATTCCCGGTCGATTCAGATTCAGGTTTCGTGGTATAATGGAGTTATAAAAGAGTGCCCTCTGTGCATGTGGTCACTCAAAGTCTGAACTCTGACGTCTGGACGTAGACCGTGGAGCCCAACGAGTCAACGATAGTCAACGATAGTCAACGACTGACCATATTTCCCTCCACCTCGGAGATCAAGACTTTTCACCCCGCCTTCAATCACCGTGGCACGCACTTTGCACTTTATCATGGTCTCTTTCGTGGGTCTTGTCACAGCCCTCGCGGCGGTCGCCAGTGTCACCGCGGCCCCAACGGCGAAAAATGATGATCCCATGGCTGGCGTCCTTGAAGCCCGACAGCAGAACCTTCTTACCCGTCGCGTTGGAGAACACGACGGATATGACCAATACTTTTGGTCGGATCGCCCAGCCATCCCTGCTCTGGTCAACTATACCATGGACATAGACAGTGGCTTCAGCGTCGAATGGGTCCCGCAAATTTACTTTTTGATCGCAAAAGGTTGGAAGGGGCTTGAAGAATCGGAATATAGGAGGTAAGACGAGAACAAAAAGAAACCCCTGGCCGGTCTTGAATAAGATATGCCAGTTCTCTTTGAAATCGAACTTGGGCTCTGACCGATAATACAGGGATATTACGTACTCGTCCAACTTTACGGCTGAAGGGTGGGCTGTAAGTGATTTTTTCCATATGTGTTGCCAAACTTATCAACTCTGTCTGCACCCTCTCTCTCGAGTCTCACCCTGGTATCCCATCCTGTCGACTCCAGTCATCTCTGACTTTGGGGGTTTTGCAATAGTTTTCTTCCGTCTTCGTCACGGCGCTCCAGTCCAATATCCTCATCGAATACTTCATCGTCGACGACTACACCGAAATGTTCGAGAACACCCTCACCAGCCCCGGATTATACCCCAGGGGCGAAGTCGAAACCAGCAGCGGACTTTACCGACTATTCTATACTCAGCAGAGCTATTGGTTCCCAGACAACCGGATAATTCTTACTTACTACGCAGTTCGCGAGACGAGACGCTCTGTGGGCACCGTCAATACTGGGGAGTTCTTCGACGCGTGGGCCGCTCAAGACATGCCAGTCGGCAGCCCGATTGAGGCGTTCGTTGCCGTGATGGGTTATATAAGCAGCCGGGGCAGTGCCCAGCTTAAAATTCTATGAGTCATGGGTCTTCTTTTCTAAGTCTTCGGTTCGAGAAACTGAAGCAGTGAGGACTTGAGCATGGAGACAGGGAGGACGTTTGACGGTTAGGTTTCTAATTTATCAAGTTACATTACAGTACCTCTGTAACAGTGAAGTTGGAACAAGACGAGACGCGGGGAAAGGGGGGACGAAAGGGCAGGTGGGGTTCTCCGTGGGGGCCACACGGTACTCACAACTGATTTATATTATTAACTCCCGTTCCCCGCATCTTATGATAGTCCGTGCCCATGTGTACCTTATGTTTCCACCCTCGCCTCTTCATCCCCTCTCGTGACCCGCTTTTCTCTCGTACCTTATACCCCCTTTTAGCCGCCTCGGCTTCAGAGACTACCTAAGGTAAGAGAGCCAACGCCTCTTGTATATAGAGCAGAAGCACCGTTTAATACCTAGTGAAATGAAGAACATGAAAGGTAATTATGCCTTGGCTACACCGATGAGGGAAAAGGCAGCCTAGGTAAGATAAACGAACCCCCTTTCTCAATACTCCCGGACGATGAAATGAGATGGCCCCTAGTATCGGCATCGTGAACCAAATCTATCTTCTATTTGCCAAAAGTAGACAGATTCAAATATGTGACAATGGAAAGAAATGCTTCCAACAGCACTCCCTTTTCCATCCCGCCTCCTTTCTCTCCGTCCGTCACACTCACTCCTCTGCTTGTTGCTCCGGCTTGGACTTCTCCCTTCTCCCAGGCCCGCATGAAAGGAGAGAAGTAGACAGTATTAAAAGTTTATATCTTGGGTGATATGTTCCATGCTGCATGATGCAGGATGTTTTATGCTTGGTACTCGGTGCAATGGTAGTGATCCAACTCGAGGACCCCCTGATGAGGGTGCGTAACATGACCTTTATGGCTCATGTCTCCGTCCGACTCTCCTCGATCGTCGGTGTCGCTGGCAAACTCGGCGTCGGTGGTACCTCATCCTTCGCAGAATCCGTCGTCCCTGCCGCGGCTGCTGCTGTCGCCGTATCCCCCTCGCTCGCGCTGCTCATCGTACTGGCCTTCTCCCGTCTTCGTCTCCTCACCCTCCTCTCCTCCTCCGCCGTCTGCCGTCTCGACTTTCGGAGGCTCGCCCGCTTCTCGGGGTCGTCTTCCTCCGCACCGTCTCCGCCACGCATACCCTGCAGCAGCAGCAGCGCCCGTCGTGCCACGTCGTCGTCGCTGCCCCCAGCTCCTCCAGTCGTCCCTCCTTCCCGAGGCGACGTCAGCCCCGCTGCCACTCCTCCTCCTACCCTCACTCCTGCTCCGGCCCCGTCTCCCTCCTCTTTCGCCGACGATGCGTCGTTCTGCTGCTTCTGCGGCGGTTGCAGCTTCGCCTCCACCGCCGGAATCTCGTTCATATCCGGAATCTGTTGCCCCGAAGCAATCCGCACCTGGTGTCGGTCCTTGAGCCGGGCCTTCCGGCGTCGGTCCCTCTGGTCCCGCGCCTGTGGCGCCGCCGCCCGCAGCTTCTCCAGCAGCGAGTCCATCGCTCCCGTGCTGGACGGCGACGCAGGTCCCGCTTCCACCGCACCCGAAGACGCCGCCGCCGCCGCCTTGGCCTTGAGCTGCGCGTTCTTCCGCATCATGGACGCCTCGTTGCGCTTGCGCGTCTCCTCCAGCACCATGTTCTTCTCCAGCGACTTCTTCCACTCCGTCAGGAACGAAGCCAGCTTGGCAAAAAAGTCCCGCCGCGCGTTGTCGTCCGTCGGATCCTCGCCGTAGAACACCATGATGTCGTTGTACGTCTTCACCATCTCCTCCAGGTACAGCTGCATCTCCTCCGCCTTCCGCCGCGCCTCCTTCATGTGCCGCTGCACCACCTGCCCCACGCGGTCCTGCGGGTGGAACTTCTTCGAGTCGCTCAGGTTGCCCGAGTCGAGCGACATCTGCACGTTGCGGATGTTGTCGATGTACCGCTTGGCGTCTGCCTGAAGCTGCTCGATGTTGATCTTCTGCGCCGTCACCACCCCCGCAATGTCCGCCGCGAACCCCTCCCACTCCGGGTACTGGTTGCGCACGATCCGCTCCACCATGTCCGCCAGCGTCGACTCGTTCTTGTCGTCCTTGACCATCCCCAGCCGCGCCAGCGAGCTGAGCTTGAACCCCCGCGCCTGCTTGTTCGCGTCGTTCATGTAGTTGCCGATGTCCAGGATCAGCCCGAGCACGTTCATCAGCGACACCGAATCGCGCAGCGCCTCCGACACCCCCATCACCTGGTTGATCTTCTGCACAATCTCCTCGTACTCGGGCTCGTACGACCGTGTCAGCGCCAACGCCCGCATCCTGCTCTTCCAGTAGTGATGCAGCTCGAACGCCGTGTACAAGTAGATTTGGTCCTGCCTCGTCAGCTCCGACGGGTCCTGCTCGCGGTCCGCCTTGTCCGACTCGGCTCCCGTCCAGTCCTTGCTGTATGGCGCCATTTGTTTGGCCGTGTTGTCGGGAATGTTGCAGAGCTCCTCCTTTTGCAGGAAGTCCATGATCACGCTGTTGTCCAGAATGTCGTCGTCGCAGTGGATGATCATCTGGACGATCTTTTCTACCGACACCTGCGATAACTTGGCAAGCGCGATTTCTAGGTCCCGTACGTGTTAGCACCGTGCCATTTTCTATGGGCAACGGGAGGGCGCACGAAAAAAAAAAGAGAGAGAGAGAGAGATAATAATAAAGAAATTTGGATCGAGCCACAACTCACCGTACGCCTTGCGAAGGTCGCTCGAGATAATTTGTTTCTTGTCGTCCTTGCTTGCCCCCTTCTTGCCAAGCTTTTTGGCCTCCTTGGCCATGAAAAGCTTCTCGACTTCGTCTAGAATACCCTTGCGGCTCAGCTCGAGATACTTCTCCTCGCGTTCCTCTGCAGACGGCGTGTGCGCCGCCCAATGCGTCGCCATGGGCGAATCCACCTTTTCCCAGTGCAGCGCCTTGAGCTTCTTTTTCGGCCGCACCACCGGAAGCCCAATTGATGTTCCGGTTGTAAAGTTGCCCGTCGACTGAGAAAGGAAGTGGCCCGATATGGCGCCCGGCAACGGAGGCGGGGGAGGGGGAGGCATGCCCGGAGCGCCCGGCATCGGCGGTGGTGGAGGAGGAGGCGGAGGTCCGCCACTCTGCCCAGGCATGGGAGGTGGAGG